ACTCATCATGAATATCCTGAAAAATACTGCTTTTAAAAACCAGTTCAGATCAAGAAACTTTCATTTTCCTTATTCATTCAACAAATATTTATGAGCAGTCCTTGTGCCAGGCACAGAGGATAGTCAGTGGGAAATAACCACCTATCTCATTCCTGACTTCTTAGTCCCTCAGTTCCCTCCACCCAGCAGAGACCACCAGTAATACTGGTTTGCTTCCTTTCAGAGATATTCTGTACTTATACAAGAATATATTTGTATATATGTATATCTTCTCATTTTCAAAATCCAAGTGATAGCATACATCTTGGGGAGAATTCTATATCACTGTAATTAATTCTTTGGTTTTACTATCACATAGTATTACATTGTATTGTATGGTTGGATGATTATTTTATTAGCATCCTGTTGGTGGACATCTAAGTAATCATTCTGTTTTTGTGGCTTTGCCTTCTTTTTCCTGCCTTACTTTTTTTTAGTCAGGGTCTCACTCTGTCGCCCAGGCTGGGCAGACTAGAGAGCAGTGACACGATCACTGCTCACTATAGCCTTGACTTCCTAGGCTCAGGTGATCCTTCTCCCTCAGCCTCCCAAGTAGCTGGGAATACAGGCACATACCACCATATCCAACTAATTTTTTGAATTTTTTGTAGAGTTGGGGACTCGCTGTGTTGCTCATGCTGGTCTCAAACTCCTGGGCTCAAGCAATCCTCCTGGTAATCCCAAAGTTCTGGGACTACAGGCCTGAGCCACCATGCCCAGTCAGCCTTGCATTTCTTCTAACACATTGGTTCTATTTCCTGTCCTTAATGATTCTAAGAAATTGAACTCAACACTACCTTTGTGGAAACCCTCAGAAAGTATGTACTTTCTGATAGATCCAGGCAAACATAAGTCAGTTAAATTTGTTCAATAATACCTTTGCTTTTCATCCCGCACATTCTTTTTGATTAACTTGTGATATTGATCTTGAGCCAGTTGATAAGCTTTCCTACTCCAGCATACACTTTCCTAAATTGCAGAGAACTTGAGGAAATTGGACACAGTTTGGCAGACACCATACCTGTCACCTAGCTTTTATCACTGAGGTGGCCCAGCCTGCTCACAAGGATTGGTATTCTTGCTGGGACAGGCTAGTTGCCCTCAGGAGTGTCCTTTACCCCCAGATCACAGTTGGCCTCCACTGAAGATCTGTCAAAGCACAGTAACTTTAAATGTATCATAATTAGTTTATTCCCCTTGCTTTGGCTTTACAAAGTATATCCAGTTTCATTTCTGGAAACTTTAACTGTCAGATGGTTGCTTTCTCATACTTGGTCATAAAAAATAGAAAGCCCTTTCCCAATGTAAGTCTTTAGAGATGTTGAGGTGACCTTGACCACTGTTATTGCTTCAGCTGTGTCTTCTGCTCCTTGTTATTTCTGCACCTCTTCATGTTGACGGTATCGTGTGCCACCTCTGAGCTTCATTTTCCATTTCTAGTTGTTCTTCCTGTCTTCACTCTAATCCCACCCCCCCATCCCCATTCCACGGGTGTCTGTTTTCTTTAAAGCAGTTTCTTCTGCAGAGCTTTGACTGTTTCAGTTTACACCCCAGCAGCACAATTCAGTTTTTTTGTTATTTCCTCAGATGGTTAGTCAGTCGGCCTCACCCACCCCCTTTAGTTTAAAGAATTTGTTATGTTACTAACCTGTTTCCTAATTCTGGCAATGAATAAAATTTTTAAAGTTCCATAGATATCGCCTCTATTTCTTTTTTAATTTTTAAAACTTTGAAATGTTAAAGGTCATTTTTAGATTATGTTCTTTTAGCTCCATATTTTAGAAAATCTCTTAGGCTCAATCTGTAAATTCTTTATTTCTCTCATTGATCACTTTATTGCCACTTAACTAATTTAACAAAATTTACTAAATCCCTGCCACATGCTGTACACTGTTCTAGACCTTCAAGACACAGACAAACTCCCTGCCCTCCAGAAGTTCATTCTTGTGAGGCAAGGCAGACCATAAATGTAATATTTTAGACAGTGCAAGTGTTCTAGAGAAAATTAAAACAGGAAAAGGGGGTGGGGAGGTCAGAATAGGGGTAATAGTTTTAAAGTCCGTGGCCAGAGAAGAAGCTTACTGGGAAGAGGCTACTTGAACAAAACCTTGGAGCAACTGATGCAGCAATTCCTGGGGATTTACTGAGTAAAGAGTGTTCTGGGTAGCAGCAAGTGTAAAGGCTCTAAGGAGGTGCATGTCTGGCAGGAGTAGGGAACAGCATGGAGGCCAACATGACTGGAGGAACTGAGCCAAGGAAACACAGTGGGGAGGCTCCCAGGAGCCCGATGGCATGAGGCCTCATAGGCCATTGCAAAGATTTGGGCTTTGACTCTGAGTGAGATGAATAGCCATCAGACAGTCATTTTTAAGAATGTGAATGAGTTAATAAGTCTTGTGCTGTGATGTATTATTGTTACATATTATTTCAAGAGGTTTTATGACTGATTAAGGACAAAAGAGCCTTTGTTCTAACTCCTCTTTCAGTAAATGTTTTCTGCTCAATTAGGAGTAAGAACTAGATGCAAGTGACCCAATATTTTCTCTTCTATCCCTTACCCATCCCAGATATGTTGTGTAAATGCAAAGAACATCATTATTGTTAATGTAATTATTTAATAAGCCTTAGATAACTTAAGGCTTTCTGTAAAATCTTTCCATCCTGATTTAAAATATTTATTTACAACCAAACACAGTACTTCTTCCCAAAAAAGGTGAGAAAATGAGGTTTAAAATTTTTTTTTAAATATAAATTTACAGGATATGAAAATAGAACTTAAAAAAACTAAAGTTGGCCGGGCTCGGTGGCTCAGCCTGTAATCCCACGCCTTGGGAGGCCGAGGTGAGCGGATTGCCTGAGCCCGCGGGTTCGAGACCCGCCTGGGCAACTTGGCGAGACTTCATCTCTACAATAAATCAAAAAATTAGCCGGGCGTGGTAGCGCACGCCTGTAGTTCCAGCCACTTGGAAGGCTGAGGCCGAAGGATCGCTGGAGTCCAGCAGGTCGAGGCTGCAGTGGCCGGGAGCCTGCCACTGCACTCCAGTCTGGGCGACAGAGTAAGACTCCAACTCAAAAAAAAAAAAACAACTAGAGTTGTATAAGAGGAAAAAGCAAATGTAGCAGTCCATTTAGGTGATTATTGTGAAGTGATTGATCCATCAGTTTACCTGTGAGCTTCATGACAGAAAACTAAGAAGGAAAACAACAGATGACATAATTATCCTTGTCAGATTTTTCCAGATCATAACAGTAGTCCTTACAAGCTACCCAGTAAAGTATGTTTTGTAACATCCTTTTTCTTCACCAAATACTGATGAATTTCTAAAATAGTTTGGTCAATATACATTTCAACTCATTCCTACTACACTACTTATTTATTTTAGGAATGTTATTTTTGATGAAAGAAGCAACTTCCTTCTAGAATTGTTAATCATGGATGATTTTAAAATTTTCAATTGTCTAGTTTGCTAAATTGTCAGCTGCCTACCTGTGTACCCCTCACACAAATAGTCCCTTACCCACAATGCCAAAATATAAAATACTCTAACAGAAAAACTTATCAAACTCATTCAAAGGAGAAATCCTGAACTGGAATAAGACCATTTAAAAATAATCACTTTTCCTATTTATTGTAAATGCTCACATATTCTGCTATAGAATAAGCAGTAATAGGTTTTGTGGAGGTTCTGTAGATTCTGCCAGCTGTTAAAACATTTGCTATATATATATCTTACTATTTTTCTAAAATTTGGAAGTATAAATTCCAAAACATACCTTTTCCTAACAGTTTCGGAAAAGAGATTGTGGACTTGCAGTAGCCAATCCTTGGAATAATGTAGGTGCCTAGTAAATGTGAAGTGAAGTGAAGTTTGATTACTATGTGGTACTCAAAAGTGAGAAACTTTTCTGCATCCAGACCTTGTGACCTTGAGGCCTCAGAGAATAAAATAGATTATTCAGTCCTTAGAAGCAGGGCACCAAAATGTTTTCTTAATTGTTCTCTTAAAGTAGTAGTAATTGGTCTTGGGTCAGGATAATAAATCCAAGGAGAATGAAATGTTATTCTGTCAGTTAAAATTGTTCCGATTAATATTCTAGAAGGTGTTTTTTGTACAATTCTTATATTTTTTATGTTGCCTCTGTATCTTTACTTTATATACTTTGTATCTTTATCACTTTATATATTTTTGTTTTTGTTCAACATTTTTTAAAGGTGTCACATCAGCTTTTTTAATACTGGTGATTTAATTGCAAAAGCACACATAAACAGTTTGAAAGGTGTGAGAAGAAATTCGCAAGTCGCATGGGGAAAACAGCAACAAAGCTAGCATTCAGTCTGGAATTCATCCACTGTGCAGAACAAATTACACTGCCAGTGGGTCAAATGGTGTATCCTGAAATTGAGTGAAAAATGAGTTTGATACAAGAAACATTTGTTTCATACAGTGGGAAATATCAGGATGAACTGAATATAGGCTTTACGCCTAAATTAAAGCTTAAATTTAATAGGGAAAGCAGGACACACACACACAGAGAGAGAGAGAGAGAATAAAATATACAGCAGAACATGCCAGAAGAGAGATTTTGCACCCTGGGAGATTAGGAAAGGAGGTGGGTTTGCCCTGGCTTGTGAAGATGAACTGAGTAGGATGAAGAGAATGGATTTGCAAGATATACAGATGAGAAAGACAGAGGCTTCACTCTCAAGTGGTGTTCAGTAAGGAGACACACATAGTGTATTATGGAAAGTGGTAAACATAATGGGACTGTGGGACCATAGAGGACTATAACAATCCTTGGAAAAGTTTGGCAGGAGTTGACCTTCAAGCTGGTCTTAAAGGACACAGGAATTTACCAGAAGGGTAAGAGATAGGCTGAGGAATCAATTCTAGGCAGATTGATAGATGCTTGTTTGAACTCGCAACACTACAATAACTTTTTATGTTGTGTCGTCATTGCAGGTGAATCAAACATCCCTTCTGGAACAATACAGAATGGGAAGGGTTTGCAGAATAAGAGTCAGTTTAGGACTATTGCACCAAAAATTGTGCCCAGAGTCCTGACATCCAGAATACTGCCATGTCATTCACCATTACCCTCAGATCAGGTGAATCTGGGACCTTCCATCAACTCCAAGCCACTGGGAATGTCTACTCAGAACTATGCTCTCATGCAAGTTGCTGGCCAGGAGGGCACGTTTTCTCTTGTTGCTTTGCCACATGTTGCCTCAACTCAGCAACTTCAGAAACCTAAAGTGCCCCTGCCTGAAAACTTTAAACTGCCTATTCCTCGCTATCAGCCCCCAAGGAATAGCAAAGGATCAAGAAAGAAACCCATCCTGAGCTCTCCTGAGAGTGACTGTAGCAAACCTCCTGCCCAAACCCAAACATCCCCTTCCCCACCTGACCACCCTGAACTGCCACATAAACCCAGTCCACTTGAGCAAGTGCCGTCACTAGAGCAAGCCCCAGCTAGTGTTGGCACAGCCGTGCTGACCAGTGGAGATGACCATAGGAACTTGAGACCTCCAGTGACCAACAGCCATGAAGATCTAAACTCTCCTGCCATCCCAACATCCTTCACCCTAGAAGATTCCTCTGCCCAGGACCTCATGACACTTTCAGGGAAAACACACTTTGCAAACAAAACATCTAGTAGACCTACTGCTGTCGCCAGTGAAAAACTTAAAGAACAAGTTGATCTTGAAAAAGCCGTGACCAGTTTATCACCAGCCATTCTTGGCAGTGCAATTCAAATGATCTCTTCCTTCCCCAAAGGGAAAGTGCCAATCCTCCCCTACACAAGAATGAAGACAACAGAGGTTTACAAAATCAAACCAGATGCTACCATTTCAGGTTTTTCTTCACCAGGGCATAGAGCAGACTGTGATAAGATATCCTCCATCACAGAAGGCTTTAATGCAGCCACCAAAATGGCCAGCAAGATACCTGTTCCACAGGTGTCACAGCAGAGTCCCTGCGAGAGTGCCTTTTGTGCAGCCACCAAACTAGATCTCAGCCACAAAACAAAACTGAACGGTGGGGCAGCAAAGAGAAGAGGGAGAAAACGAAAGGTGCCAGATGAAATTTTGGCCTTTCAAGGAAGAAGGAGGAAATGCATCATTAAGTGTAGAGATAATAAAGAAAGAGTAAAAAACGATCCCCAAGAATCCAGAGACCAAAAACCTGGAGCTATGAAAAAATATCGTAGCATTATGCCCAAACCTGTCATTGTCATACCTACTTTGGCTACCCTGGCTTCTCCTGCAGCTACACTACAATCCCAAGCGCTTGGGGGCCCAGGACAGGACGTTTTCTTAAATAGTTCACTCACTCCAAAATACCTCAGCTGTAAGCAGGACAGCAGCCCTTCCCCTAAACCCAGCTCTGTGTTCAGAAATGGATGCTCTGGCATTAAGAAACCTTGGCACAGATGTCATATCTGTAACCACCACTTCCAGTTCAAGCAGCATCTTCGAGACCACATGAATACACACACCAACAGTCGGCCTTACAGTTGCCGGATTTGCCGCAAGACCTATGTGCGTTCTGGCAGCCTGAGCACACACATGAAACTGCATCATGGCGAGAACCGGCTGAAGAAACTCATGTGCTGTGAGTTTTGTGCGAAAGTGTTTGGTCACGTCCGAGTCTATCTTGGCCATCTGAAAGAAGTGCACAGGGTTGTGATCAGTACTGAACCCTCCCCCAACGAACCACCACCCGGGGACATGCCAAGGAACAGAGATACCAGTATGCGAGGGTTGGAGGAATCACTGGAGAGGTAAGTGCCCAAGGGATGGAAGCTTGGCAGGAAAGTCTGCTTTGATTTGGGGAAGAGTCAGATTTCATATTCAGCTAGATGAGTTTCTCAAACATCTCTCCATTAAGATTTCCTAGTCTTATTTTCCCTAGTTCTGTGGAGAGTGATCTTCTCCTTGGTTTCTGATAAGTTCTAATTTTAAATTACACTACCCCATTTAAACCAGGGCATGATTTGAGGTACTCTGGGGTGACTGGGTGAGAGAAGATTATTTTTGCATTTGAAAATGAAATAATAAATTATTGTGTATAATTCCTGATAGTCTTTATAAGTAATTTTCCCCCAAAATCATGACCACAGACTTTATCTCTAAACAGCATCACTGTCCCCAGAACTCAAGGTGACCCATGGTGGGGACTCAGGGTCTGCTGTGTAGACTGTACCCTGAGTGCCCACGCTTCATGCTCTACATTTGCCCTGTTTTTCCTGTCAGGTCAGGTTAACTTTTTTCTATGCCATTCCTTTTGCAGGCACTGCCTTCTAGTAACAAACAAATAAGCCAAGTCATTTGAAACCCTGGCCAGCAGGTATCAAAACAATAGTCAACCAGGGAGCACCCTCAGGTTGTACTGCGTGTCACTCCCCATTAAGGTGGCAGAGGGAGCTTCACTGACTTTACTTATCAGCACCGAAAAACAAATCTTTTCCTGCACTTTATATTCTCTGCCCTTGTTGCTTCCAGCTGTCCCCATTGCTCTAGATACTTTCTGTTCAGTTTTGGCTTACTCCATCATATTCAGTAAAAACAAAGGTATCTATCCTACTTCTTCCTTGCTTTTCTATAGTTTCTTAGGCGTTTCTGTCCCCTTTCAGACTTCTGTGCTTTTCACTAATGGACGAAGAAACCTCACTTCTTGTTTTCCTGTAGTTCCTGTAGTTAGGTTTTGAATTTTAGGCAAAATGTCCAAACTGCCTGAAGGGCTCAAGGCTAGGGAGAGCCACAGTGGTTGCTGTGGGACAGCCACCTTCAGCTGAACCAAGTTTTCCTGTAGCACCTCCCTTGGTGTCAGCTAACTCTTCCATGTTGATTACACCTCTTCCTGTGGTCACCAAAGACCCATTAGCTCACCTAGGGGAGATCATGAAAGGAAAGACTCATTGATTACAGCATGAGGAATGTGTGGGCCAAGCAGGAGTGACAGTTGGCTCACTGTAGCCTTGGTGAAGGGCTTCCCAGGTGATCTGTTTCTTCCATCCTTTGTATGTATCATTAGTGGGTATACTTCAGGCCCCCGAAGGACAGGAGCCAAAAGGAAACTCTCTACTTACATTTGTCCATGAAAACTTATGGCATTTTCTTTGCCCTTTTCAGAGAAAACAAGTCAAGCCTGGAAGAAGACTTCTTTCTAAGCCAAGCAGACGAAGTCAAATTGCAAATAAAATGTGGCCGTTGCCAGATCACTGCTCAATCTTTTGCTGAAATAAAGTTTCATTTACTTTATGTTCATAGAGAGGAAATTCAGGGCAGGCTACAGGAGGGCATCTTACCAGGAAGCAAGGGAACTCAGGAAGAACTGGTGAGGCACACCCCTCCTGACTGGAGACAGCAGCCCGAGAGAAGGAAGCCAGGGAAGCCTCGGCCCTCCGAGGGGGAATTACATGCATTTCCTAAACTCAGAAGGCAGCTCCACCTTCACCATCAGGATGGCGTGGAAATACTCAGGGAAAATGCAGGAGCCCCACCAGGAGCTAATGTGCCAAGGGAGAACCGCCAGGGCCCAGAGCGTCCTGGCCTCCACACTGTCCTCCTGCGGTCCCACTCGGGCTTTAACTGCCTCCTCTGCACACAGACACTGGGACAGAAGGAGGACCTTCTCCTCCACTGGGAGCGCCAGCATAACTGTGAGGACCCCTCCAGACTGTGGGCCATGTTCAGTGCGTTCTCCACCCAGGGAGTCATTGAACTTTCTGGTGAAACTGGGACGTGGTACACAAAGGCCAGCCAGGGGTGAGGAGAGCACGCTGTCATGCCCCTCAGAGCTTTGTATTTCTGGCAGGGTGTGATCATAAAGGTTAGACAGGTTGGGATTGGCATGAATGAACAGAAGTGATTTCTGTACATAGTTTTATTTTCTTATGAAATAAAGTATATGTTCTAGATGCATATTTTTCTAACCATATGCAGTCTTATTTTAAAATTCTGTGTACTGACTCTTAACATCTTATACTTTATTTCAAAATAAATTAAAAAGATCAAAATTTGGAGATTGATATGTAGACGATTATAGGCTATTCTAACATAGTTTTCTGCAAAAGAGTGTGTGTGTGTATGTGTGTGTGTGTGTGTCCCTTTTGTTCAGATGTCTTTTGCTTACATAGATTGACAGATGTGCAAAATAGCCAGGTGGCAAACCCATTTTAGTCTCAACCATAGTATCAAGTTATATGGTAAATGTTGATGTTTATTAAATTTTCTGGTTTATTTGAATATGCTATAGAGTAGTATTTTTATAAGACTGTCATCTACCATAATTTAAAATCCATGTTTTCAGAACTTAGGTTTTTTTGGTAATTTTGCTATACTCTTAAAAGCGCATTGCCTTGAAGATTAGTTGTTGGCAAGTCTTATAGCTGTAGTGTTCCATATCAAAATAAGAAAAAAAGTTTAGTACTTCAGCTAATAAAAAATCCACTTTCTTGGTAAAAAGTTATTTTCAAGTAGTCTTATGAACCAGAAAATTTACAACCTGGAAAGTGAACTAGATAGTTCAGTCCAGATGTGTAGGTGTCTCGACTGCTTTCCCGCACTCCCAAATAACCAGAGGGTTGTCGCTGACTGATCAATTTTAGATGCAACTGTGCCTTTCAAGCCCAGGGTCTCTTTGAAAGTCAGAAGCAAATGATTGCCTCTTAAATTCTTGGGAAATTACCTCAAATCAGCAAAGATGCCATTTGAAGTTTCTGGTCCTGGCTGAAAAATCGTTTTCTTAAAAGGGAGAAGTTTGAGCACTCATCCTACTGAAACTCTCAGCCTTTGGTTAATAGCATGCTGTGCCCAAGGCCAGCCCTGTCTGCTGAGCTGTGCCCAGGCATTATCATAACATTGCCCAGTGCGCAAGGAAATTACCTAAACATAGGAGGAACTAAGTTCTAACTGATAAGCCAGTAGGTCTTACATCATCTTTCTTATTGTCTAGTTTTAAAACCAAGTGTACAGAGGTGCAATTTGGCTCAAATAGTAGAAAAGAGAAAACTCAATTCTTGCCTTTTCAAAAATAGTTTTGTAAATTTGAGAATAAGAGGGTAGAAGTAGAAATATCCAAAAGTTCGTGCTGTAATTTATCTGTTGATCTCACCTTGCCCAGTTTCAAAGAAAATATCAAACCTCCACTGTCTGATAGGTCTAGGACTACTGGATTAGTAATGAAATTGCTTTACCTCTCAATGCAATATCTAGTTTGTGTTTTGGAAGATTGGTCTTGAAGACATTACCAAAAGAGTTCTACGAAGAATACTACTCGAACTCAAACCATGAAACTTGAATTCAAACTATGAAATAGTTTATACACTGCTCAGCCCTCAGGTGCTAAAGTAGTATTTCAGAAATATTGGCCAGTTGGCCAAGGCAGAGCCATGAGTCTGGAGTATGTATGGAAACGGAGGTGTGGAGCAGAGTGCATCCAATCCAGCATATCACAAAAGGTCTGAAGTTCCCTAGGCTGTGGATGCACCCACCTGTGGCCTCCAACGTTGAGCCACATAGTCTCAGAGTGAGCACATAGGCAGACTCTGGAAGGAAGTACAGTTATGAATGGGGGAAATAGCAAAGGCAGAAAGAGTATGATTGGCTCATGTTAAGTGCTCTGACTGGATCCTCTTCTAGAATGCATTTCAGAGCAGGGACCCCAGTGTGCTAACTAAGTTTTGGCAATTTATCAAGGCAGTGATCCATGGGGGGAGGGAGGGTGAAGGTGGGCAGTAGTGGAGGAGAATGACACTCAGCTTTAAGAAAATCTTTTTTAAGAGAAGGAAGTTTGGGGTGCACAGGGTCCTCCCTGGCTGCCTGTGTGCGTGGGTTCATTTATAATACAATGTACAGTTCTCAGCTTCTGGAAGCACTCCCCTGCGTTACAATGGAAACAGTCCCAATGCCACCCCAGATAAGGAGTTTCTGGCCCTTAACAGTCGAACTCCATTGAGAATGGTGGGTAGAGGGCTAGGAAGACAAAAGGGAGTACTTTAGCTAAAGTGATTTTGGGAACAATGCGGAGCCTTCCTTGGGTGTAGCAGCATTATTGGCACCATCCCAACCTGTAGTTAGCACAAAGTTGGTGTGGTGTAGAATAAAGTGCTCTAATACTCCTTGTGACCTTGAGAGCATTCCCTCTCTGAGACTCCAGTCCCACCTCTGTGAAATGAGAGTGATTGTCCTGCCTCAGGCATTGTTAGGCCACATAGGAGCTGGTGGCTGGCATTTACTATGTTTCTGACTAGACTTAGAAGAAGAGGTATGTCATATGATATAAAGGTCATTTAAAACAGCTCAGCTAGACCTTAAGTACAGAATTCAAGGATAGAAACTCTCCTAATAATTACAGAAATTTGCATTTTTGCATAAAAATTGCATGCTAATTTTTAAATAACTAATAAAATGGATTTGGACTGCATGGAGGTTTGTAATTATCTATTTCGTTAACATATGAAAGCAAAATTCACTGAATTATTTCCATTCAGGGTCCACTTTGAGTTTTGTATTCCTGAAGTCTGGGCAGTATCCCCTCCCTGAGGTGGTCCTGCTGCCCTTCCCTGGCCCCTGTTCTAACTGTGATCATAGCCTCCACTCTACTGTCCAGAGGCTGAAGGTGAACTTGTCTGATTCCCACACTGGTCTGTAAGCTTCTTGAAGGTAGGGACTGTGCCTGTGAACAGAGGGTCAGCACAGAGCCCTAGAGAGTCCAGTACCTGACATGGAATAGTGCCCAGCAGATATTTGTTGGAGAAATGGATACATCATCTAAACACAAAATCGCCACTTCTCTTTTTATGACTAAACCAGCTTTAAAAACAAGCAAACTTATAGCTAGAAAGGCATCCAGGCAAATTTGGTCATACATTCAGCATATTCATTTTGCTTAATTCTTTGCTTCTTGGAAGATTGTCCCAATACCAGCAAAATTGTTTTTTTTTTTCTTTTGACCCTAAATCACTTCTGAAAGTTACAGCATTTTAGATTTGTATTGTTTTATTGCCTGCCGTTTTTATTCATGTCCCCTTTTGTTGCTCTCTTTCCCCGGACCTCTTCCTGGTTTAGAGGTCCTGGTTTAACTCGACTGTTCCCCTGCTTAGCTCTTCCTCACACAGTGTCGTCTCTTCATCAGCACACCATAAATCATCAGGCCTGGGCTCCTTCCATGGCCTTCTCTGCTGCGGACTCCTCTCCTCCCCAGCTGCATGGCTCCAGCTTTCTGTGGCCCCTGTGACATGGCTGTTGGCAGTAAATGCCCAGCTTCATTTGTTTCTTAGAATTCTCAGCTCTGGACTGGTTTGCTCCATTCAAGCTGCTGACATACTTGGTTAGGTACATATTTTATAGTCTCCCCTTCTCACCGAGCTCCCGAGAAAAAGTGTCCTGGTATGAACAAGATGGAATTTCACAGAGCAGCTTTTCAGCTTCGACTTTATACTGAATTCCCTGACATTGGACAATCACCAGCTTATCTAGGCTTATGGTGCAATGTAATATATATTTTAACTATACTACCTCTTCAGGAATGTTACTTCTAGAGATAAAATGTTTATTGTATCTAATATTTGGCCACAGCTATGGTTATCATAATAAAAGTATAGCCACAATTTTTCAAGCATATTTTAAATTTGTGTTGAGTATGCAGACGTTGGCTTAGGAGTACATCACATTTTCCATACTTTGAAGTGTAAAAATATTTTCAGTGTGTATTGCTTAACTCTAAGAAAAATGCTGTACGTTGAAGGAAACCAAATGTGACAACTAAAAAAGACTTACAGATTACTTGTTTTAATTTTCATGTGAAGCTAAACAATGTTTTCTCTCTTCAATTGAATTTGTCCCTATCTTCAAAACTGCCCCACTCCTGTTAGCTTAGCAGTAAATAATTCATTTACAATAGGGTGGCAATACTTGCCTTTTTAAATATGCTCCCCCCAAATCACAAGTTATTAGAATTATAATCATATTTCTGATAGCCACGAAGTACTACTTTAAAAAAATTTTGCCTTGTCTCATTAAATAGGAATTTAATCTCTACCTAAGAGTTGCGAGGAGGCCACCAGGTATTCTATAGGCATTTGCAGAGACAGCAATGAATTTGGTCTAATTACTGCCTGAGTTGGAATGCATCTCTTGCTACAAAAATGTAGCCATGGAAGAGATCCAGGTAGCTCAAACACTACTGCATAACAATCCCAAAGTTCTGGCCATATCTGAAAGTAATATTTAAGGGTATGTTCTTTGGAAACTAACACACTACCTTTTTCCAGCCTAAGCACAGTTAAATTTTTCAGAAGATATTCATTGAACCAAAGCTTTTTAACAATGGTTATACCCAAGGAAAGTTATTCTAAAATGTCTAAGAAGACTACATCTTTCTAATGGTCTGTTTTCTTTCTGGAAGAAAAGGATGAGAAGGAGAAGCAGGAGGACAGGCATACTATGTCAAGATGCAGCATGAAAAGCTTTGATGATGGAAGGCCCAATGGGGCACTGTAAGGAGGAGGATCCTCGCTCAGTGTCTGGATAGCATAATGCCATTAATGTCTTGGTGCAACCTCGATGGAGGGAAATCTGCCAATGTCTACCAAAATCTAAAATACACAGACCTTTTCACCCAGGAACTCCACTTCTAGGAATTTGCCCAATAGATAGCCCTGTTCAAGTGCACAAATAGATGTGTGAGGGTGTTTACTGCAGCATTGTTTGTAATCAGCAAAAGACTGGGCATAAATTAAATATCCATTAGAGCTGGTCAAAAAAATTATACTGCGTAATGGAATACCACACTGCAGTACTGAAGTAGAAGTATCACTTTATGTGCTGAAATATGTATTGTGTGAAGGAAGCAAACTGCAGAACAACACGTAATGTGCTCCCATTTGCTTTTTTAAAAGGAGAAAGACAGGAGGGATTAATGTGTGCTTAGACATGCATAGAAATATATGGAAGGTGACTTTGCACTGTTGGAATTTTTTGCTGCATTTTATTTTTGTCAGTTGAAAAATGACTT